TCTACTGTATACCTACCTACTAACCATCAAATCAGTTGTATACATTATTCTTTAAATATTTCTGACATGGATTTTATATGAGTAATTATAGAACCTTTATAACTTATCAAACAATAAATTCTGATTAATATTTAAAAAAAAAATATTGGGTAGATACCTACTGACAACATTTAGATTAAAATCACAATTACTTTACCTACAATTGTATATATACACAATTATAATTAATTGTATATATACTATATTACTTGACAACAAAGAAGAGGAAATTAAATCTAATTTACAATTAAGTACCTATATATACACTTAACTCTTTGAGGGGCCGTGGTTAGTATGCTAACCACTTTTTTTTTACCGTTCAGGTGCGGTGGTTACTATTTTAACCACTTTTAAAATTATTTTTAATATTTTTTTGATGATGGTCAGCATACCAATCACCTTATTATCATCTTATACATGCATCAAACAATATCACTGCCGCTGGTCTGATATAATTTCTCGCGTTTTTCATCATTTATTATCATTAACAATATTTTGATATACGTACTAAATGTTATGGTAAAGAGACATATTGCCCACATGGGTCTTTTTTCTAAAGGAAATTTTCGCCCCTCAAAGAGTTAAAATACTATACCCATAACCTAAACCTGATAGGCTAATTAACAAATATAGTTATCAGTAATTTGTAAAGTAATATTCAATGTTAATAGGTAATTCTAAATAAGTGTATCTAAAGACTAAAATATCTCAATATATACTTCAACATTATAATACATAGGCACCTATAGTCTATAAGCTATTCCAAATAAGATTGAAAAAAAAATCAAGACAAAAATGTGTTGCAATTCCCACATGTGCAGTCTTGTTGGCTGTTGTTGGTGTGCTGCCGACTACAGCCAATCACAACGGTCCTACCGTTCCAAGGCTGCACAGTTTTTCCAAAATTATTTGTCATAGGGTATAATATAGTATACCTATACATATAATAGGTGTGTTATTAATATTGTAAATACCTACCCTGAAAAATACCCGTTTAAATAAACTAAGTAGGACCTCAATAATAAAAGAATTCATATAGGTAGTTTAAAGCAGGCATGTAAAACTCAAAATATTAAGTACCATCAACTGGTAAATTATATTGAATAGATTACTATGCAAGCAGCACATAAAAATGTATCGAAAAAAAAAACATTTTATATGAATTTTCAATTTTATTCATTAGGTTCTTACTATACTATATAGGTAAAATACTTATTTAATTACAGTTTATCAGAGGATAAGACAGAAAAGTAACATAATGTATACCTCTCACTAATGTAGTTGTAATACAAAATGAAAATTGTATAATTTTTTTTTTTCAATTAATTGTTCATTAAAATTGCTATCTACGGGCCATAAAAACACAAGCCGGGGCTTGTTTTCTTTAGACATTTAGTTTGACATTCGTGGCATAAATGTTACAAAGTGGGAATTTTTATAAATTAAAATAGTAAAATAAAAATAACATTAACTCAATATTATCATACAATTGTATGGTTAATTGTGCATATGTAATTAATTCAAACGAGATTAAGTACCTATATTATTGACACATCTTAAAGACTTAGTTAATAGAATAGTGCATAACTTTAGTTAAACAATGTTTACATTACAAACAGCTTTTGTTTATATCCAACTTAATCTGAATAGCATAACTATGATCACTACAATATTATAAATGCTGTACCTATACCTAACAATACCCTATACTTACATCATTTTTAAATCATCAATATTTTCAAAACAAGTGTATGTTAATTACCTAACCAAGAAACCGGTTACATGGATTATTTATTATAGAAGTCCTAAGCATCCAGATAGATATATAAGCATACAGGAGTGTGTACACTTGCAATGAAAAAAAAACTTACTAGGTAAAATTTCTTATCTATCTTGATGGTCCTAAAAGCATACTGATAATATGTAGTTTTTGCGCATAGAGTAACTAAACATTGTATATGTACATTAAACATTAGTTTAAATTGCTTCATATCCCCCCCCCTTGGTTGAGCATTGTCAATGATGGTATATAAAAATTAGTAGGTTCCTTCTCTATTGGATCACGGTTTAGATGTTTAAAAGAATTGAAACTTCATAACATTATGCAAATTAAAAGGAGTTCCTAAGTGTTGGATTCATAAATACCTATATTAAAACATCGAGTAAAACTTTGTTTACATGCAATACAAGAAACAATGAAAAAAATTATAAAAATCGCTATTGAAAAGGTTCAGTGTGAGTAGTTTGTTCCCAAAAAAATGTCCGCTATTGAAAGGTATCGGATAGAGGAGTAAATCTTTTAATTATAAGACTTAATAATTTTTAACAGGCTATAATAGGTATATAGATTGTAAGTAAATAGGTACTTACATGTTATTGTTTTATTTACCTAACAGGTAAATAAGGGTTAGTTAGGTACCTAACTAAAATCTATATTTTACAATACCTATAACAAGCTCATTAATTGATCTGAGTGATGTTAGATGAATACTTTATTATTAGCAATTAAGTATTTTTATCCATTGATATAAATATATAATATATAAATTATTAGCTAATTATCAAATACCCTGCATAAAACTGTGCCTCCATATATTTTAAGAGACAGGTGGTAATATAACCTACCTATTTAATATATACCTACATAATAATTAAAATAAATCTAACTATTCTGCAATGATTTTTTGTAAAAGAATGTACCTATCAATTGGCTTCAATTATCCGAATAAATAATTATTAATCACATTAATTAGTTAGTGTCAATGTGTTGATGGAGTACCTACTTATTTTACAAGTTACCTAGCCTGGTAGGTACTTATTGTTAAATACTATAAGTTTTTACAATTATTTATTTATGAAATCATATGTATTATGTATAATCAGGTATGCAATCACCAAATACCTACTAAATATATACCAATTTGACAATATACCAACCCATTCCATAATATTAAAAAAAAATTGGATTTAAATATTTTTGAATTTTATTACAGTGTCTAGGTAAATATTTACAATTTACAAGAAAAATGGAATTATTTAGTATCTAAAATGTAGGTAGATAGGTATATACATTTTTTGATAACAGTTAAAGAAAAAATTAAGTGTATCGATAATAATCAATGACACAACATATGGCGTTCAAAAAGATTTTATTTACGACATGCACAATATGCCAGCGATAACAATTTTACTCTTATAGGGATCTAACTTCAACTTGATATGGTAAGAATTGTTATATTATATTGGTACCTTATACAATATATAAACATTATAGTTATATTTATTTATAACCGGGATATAATTACCTATCTTTATTGTCTATATGAAAATATTAAATGAGTAATAGGTAACTAATAGTCAAATTTGAACAATAAGGATTTAATATTTTCAAACATTTTATTAGGTTCCAGAATCAAATAGGCTTAATACCTATATCCGGTATATTTTTTTTTATTAATATTCTAACTAATTAGGTACTCAGAATGAAATGTTTTGCTAGGTAGTAGGTACCCATAAACCGTCCAGTTCATCATGGCTTTCAGCGACCGTTACGATTACTATCTTATAATGTAAAGTAATACCAACTGTGTTAACTGTGATGTTAGCCGATGGCCAAGATGAACTGGACAGGTCATACCAAGGTATCCGAAGGGTATCTATTTACATTTATTTAAAGAATTTCAGACATGTGTCAAAATAGTTGGCAACATTATAAACCAATTAGTTAGGTACATAAACAAAATATAATCAACTAAATTTTACAGAATATTTTATAACAACATAAATGTACCAATTTATTTAATATTTTTAAACGATTACCATAAAAATATCTGGTAATATATTTATAAGTTTACTCAGAGGTTTACTAGTAGAGTCGAAAATTGAACATGATAAGGCAAGAAAAAGTAAGCGTATCTTAAAGTCATTAAGAGAACGTAATACACGCATATAATATAATCCATTTTACACTACAATTTTTATTATACCTAAGCTAAATTGATCATTTATCAAAGTTTCGAGTAAGAATATTATCTAAGGACCCACTTTAAAAAAAAGCCCTTGGTATTATCACTGATAATATTATTGTCTTAAAATTGTTTAACAGATCATAGGTATCACTAAAATATTAAAAATAACGGACTAAAATAGATTCTCCTGAATACAAAATTTGATAGTTTGGTACCTAAAAATAAGGGTTTGATGTCAGATTAAAGGTGAAGTAAAATAAAACTGAAAAAATGATTTGTTTACTTGTACAGTTGTACCTAGTAAACTTGTAGAACCAACACTACATTACAATTGGGCTATCAAATCTAACGCAGAAGTATTTCCATACCGACGTTGGTGGAACCGACTCATCAAAATGAGTAAGACACTGCTAGTAACTATAATTGAAAAGCTGCACAATAAAGCATCGGTCAAAGGTTAGAGGGTGTACCTACCTTAACCTAATTTGGTACTTTATTTAACATTGAATACAATTGGTTATATGAATTTTGTTTTGGTTTACTACCTATTTGCTTATCATTTCATGTTTATTTTTTTCCATTTAAAGGTAGGTAGGTAGGTACATGATTGTATGCTCATAATATTATACAGTTTTAATTGGACATTCAAGACTTTTGAGAGGTATTTTAAATACTTGTTTTAATGAGTGCTTATTGTAAGAGTAGGTAGACTAGGAAATACGTTTCGAGAGTATTTTTTACAACACTGCTAATCTCACAGATCGGCGCCGCAGCCGCCACAACGCGGGCAACGCACCACTACGATGCGATTGTTTTCGCACGTCGTGAGCGGTTCTCAAGACCATTCTCTCGGCGGGCATAGCGGAAACCACCAGCAGGGACAGGATCCACACGGGAAAACATCCTCAGACCCAACACCCACCTGCCTATTATAGCTGCTTCTCTGCATTGAGCAGTAGAGCGATAACCTACGAGAGCGATAAGTGATAACTGATGTTGACAACCGAACAACGGTCGTCCACGTACCTCGTGCCCGGAGAACGGCATGGCGCGTCCGTAGTATCAAGACATGGCGGCCGCGGAAAACGGTCGGACGGAGGTGAACGCGGCAGACTTCTCTCCTCTAGACTTTGGCGGACGTCGGCGAGTGACAACAGCGTCGGTAACCGGCGATTATCGTCGTCGGTAATAACGCCGTTGCGTCCGGCAGCATCGCATTCGCGCGCACAAGAACGAACCGATCTAATCGACGACGGCGGCGGCGACCCGTTCACGTTTACGATCGTTCTCAATGGACACCGACGAGCTGCGGCTGTGGCACGTTCAAAACGACACGAAACGACGGCGGCGGCGTCGTCATCTTACAACTTTCCCCGAGTAGCAGACCATATTGTTTCACGGCGCACGACAAAACAAAAACACAACGGATCGGCGAAAAACAATAAACACGACACGCACGCGACTTGGCAAAAAAATTATTTACACTAATATATTATTATATATATTTAATACTATATCGACGCGGAATATTATGATATCACTAGTATATAAATGCGAACCGAAACGATCTATCGGTGGTACAACAATCGAAACAAAATAATATCATAAAAAACTGTTTTGCTGTACCGCGGCGTGTGTGCGACAACAACAATATTATTGAATAGACTGAAGGAGTCGAATTACCGGAGGCGGATAACGCACACACACTGACGCACGCACAGGCACAGCGCTGTTTCACGAGCTAGCGCGAGCGCGCGCACACACAAACACACGGGCAAACGTTACGGCGGCAGCCGGATTCTACGAACGAAAAAACACGGTCGCACACACACGCACACGAACTCGGGCGCACACGGTCGCGCACACACACACACACACACACACAACACTCACACACATACAACACACGGATAGTATACCAGTCGACTGTGCTCCGGCGGGCCCGCACTGTCAGCGCCCACAAATTTCTCAGCTTTATCGACCAGTCGGCGGCGCTGTTGCAACCGGCAACCGCCGCCGCCGCCGCTTGCCCCACCACATCACCACCGTCTCCAGACCCCCACCCACATTCGCACGACGTACCCGGCACCACATTCTTTCCTTATTTTTTTTACGCATCCACACTGTATATTATACACGCGCTCCGTCTTCGTTGCACCGCCCGTCTTTTTTCTCGCCGGTGTCTCGCTCCCGCACGCCGCCTATCTCACCGTCCGTCCCTCTCGCTTGCCGCTGCCGCGCGGCTGCTCGTTCGTTCTTCCTGGTCTCTGCCGCCGCGGACGTCCCTTTTTGCACGCGGGCAACAGGTTAAAACGTGCACAGACTCGCGCACCGCAGCGGACGCGCTGCTTACATGGTTTCCAGACAACCACCGCTGTCGTTGTACGCGACCGTCAGGTACCTACGCGAAATACTTATGAGTTATGGGCAGGGTATGGGTATTATGGTGGGTGAGGGGTGAATGGGAGGGAAAGGACGATATTTATTTTATATTTTCCGATTTATTGTTTTGTGTTGCCATACGATTCTATATAGCTCGATTTCTTTTCGTTTTCGCAGAAAAATGTCCACGTTCGCTGGTCACGTGGACAGACACAGAGGCGTCGTCGTCAAATCCACCATAGCCGCCACGGAACAAGAGAAACCGACGGAATTCGGTCCCAAGCTTGCCAGTAATTTTTTGCATTTTTTTTTTATATTGTCTCAAGGACGTTGCGTCGCGTCCGGGCCATCGCCATTGGTTCCCAAACGCGGTCGCGGCCTTCCATGTATATTTATATATATACATTACTGCAGAATAATGATTATACGTCCGGTTCAAACCGTTTGGCGGCACGTTAAACTACAGACACTACGTTACCGCACAGCTACCGACGACGCTGACCGTTCCCGAACCGGCACGAGCGTCACCATGAATGTTCGCAGACGACGCCGAGACGGCCGTTATTCTTGCAGGGAAATCGTCGTGGTCGAACACTCGAACGTGACGTGTGTGTCAGTCAAAACGGTCGTCGTCGGGCTTGGGGCATGGTCGTCGTCTCGCCGGCGACGACGAACCGGTTCGGTTGGTGGCACCGCGTGCGCGTACCCGTGGAACGGCATCGGTGGCGGCGCCCGCGCGCTCGTCATCTCTCGCCAGTCTCTCTGCTCATACACACACATAGGAAATAATAATAATTCATAGTATTGTTGTACTAGTGTACATACAGGGTGTTTCACCGTGTTAGCCCCGTCATTGAATTTTTTCTGATATTTTTAAAATACCATTTTGAAAAACCATTACTTTATCGGATATTCACATATTTTATTAAGCCATTTGAAGGATATAATAGTTATTTGGTAAATACGAAAACATTTTTCAAATACTTTGTTTTGTGTTTCATAAAAAAAATGAGATTGCCACTTTATAGAGTTACAACTTGTAAAAACGTATTTTATACGTCGAATAACCGAATTTCCATTAAGTAGTCAAATATTTAAGTTTTAAAGTTTGGGTTCGAAGACAAACATGGTGGAACACCCGGTATATACTATGTGTATATTATTGTAACTGCGCTTCCCGACCAGGTCGAGATGCTGTGTGCGTGTGTTTCGACGAAGTTTGACACGTTCAATTATATACCTATACCTCCCGCGCGCCATATGGTTCAAAAGTCACTCGTAATTCGTGTTTTTTTTATTCCCGACTGATTTTTTTCCACTTGTATTCGTAACGACGTCAAAACATTACGAATCGGTAACGTAAACGTCCGGAAATTATTAATCCTGATGACCTTTGATAATTTTTTACCAACACGTGTCCATTAAAATGGAATTCCGCAATATCGTGGCATTACCAGATTATCTATCCGTATTATATATTTAGCTGCTACCAGCTGTAGTGTATTATAAGTTATTATAAGGTATGCAGATGTTTAACATTATATCCTAGCGCGTTATACCTGAAATGGTTATTAAACCGTAATGATTTTTTTCCCTAGAGGAATTCGTTTTAATAATATCGAAATCACCATGGGCTAAAAACTAGTTTTCTCTTTTTACGTACAGTAAAAACACGTAAAAATGTATATTAGGTAAGGTACCAATACCAACTATTTGCAATATAATGCCCAATGGCTATATAATATTTTTCTAAATTTATCCAATTTATTTTTTATGTACCTATGACAACAATTTTTTTCCGTCAATACATTTTGTACGATATTAATCGTAGTAAGTAATATACCAATATGTATGTTGAATATTGACCAGTTCAAGTTGTTACTTGTCATAATATATAATAATATAGTGTTAGAGTTAAAAATAAATTACCTTTTTATTATCATTTATACGTTACCGTATTACATAATCGTATAATATGTATAATATTTTATAATTATATAAATTATCTATCAAAACATTATGTCTAATACTCTATAATGTACCTTAGTAGACTTATATTAGTACCAAGTCTAGAATATATAGGTACTAGGTTGATAGTTATACGTATCATAATTACATACTTACACATTGTACGAAAAAAAATAATGTACAACCTATTTAATATTTTGAGACCAATATAAATTAAAAATAGCGTTTTATAGGTTGGTCTAACTATTCCATAATAATATTATAATAACAAAGTTGTGACATGACACATATTACTACAACCAGGCACGGATCAAGAGAGGGGATCATAGGGTCCATTCTTCCTCCCAAGTAGCACAAACACATCTCCCCATTTGTTCGGAGAAACTTATAATTCAATTATTTACCATATAGTAGGTATAACCCATGGGTTTTTATTTAAGTTGACAGACAAATTATTTATTATATTATCTATTTAAAAATATTTTGGTGTTGCATAATATTATGTGATTTTAGATTCTGAGTGAAACGATGAATGTATTGATTTTACAATGATGTGTGTTATTTTTTTATTTATGTGTCTGTCATCACCTTTTAGGAGATTAAAAGTGCTTGGATTTTCTTCAACAGTATCATTTCTGATAGGATAGTGAATCTAGTTGGTACTTTGGGGGGTCAAAAGTAAAAAATTTCCCAGTAGTTTTCATAAGCGCAGTGAAAAACAAAAGAAAAATTAAGGAAAAACAAAAATTTTCCTAGTAGATTTCGAAATATTATGATTTGTTTTGAACTGTTTAGGAACATTTTAATTTTCTATTTTTTTTTTAGTTTTTTTTCTAAAAATATCAATAAAATTGTATTTGTTGGTTAAAAAAAGCTTGAAAATTTAATAGAAGACTCCTAGTATATTGTTTCAAAGGCAGATGAAAAATAATAATAATCTTTAGTCACAGTATTTTTTTATAAGCATTTAAAGATCAAAAATTGACAAAATATGGAAAAATCACGAAAATTAGCAAATAATTTTTAGTTAAGAATTCCTAAAAATTTTTTTCTAAATTTAATATTTTAAAATGAAATACAAGATTATTCATAAGTTTGTCTATCATTATCAAAAAGAAAAATCTCTTCAAGCAAATCAAATTATATTTTTATGAGCGTTTGAAATTCATATTTTTACAGCATATTTGATATTCACTCGATTTCTCATGTAATGATTTTGTTATTTTATTGTTATTCAAAAACGAATAACTGTACTTACATGAACATTTTACTGAATGTTTATATTTTCATTTTCTATACACCATAAAAATTTGAAAATAATTTGACTCATTTTGAGCTGTTTACGGACATTGTCAGTTTCAATTTTCTTAATTTTTTTTTCTATATATATCAATAAAATTTTATTTGTTAGGTAAAAAAGCGTGAAAATTTAATGAAAGGCTCCTGATATATTGTAACAATAGCAGTTGAAAAATATTAAAAATACATCGACACAATTTTTTTTTTTAAGCATTTAAAGTTTGAATTTTGAGAAAATTTATCATGTTTAAAATTTTATAATTATTTTGTAGTTTTAAATTTATAAAATGTTTAACTTTTATAGCTAAGGATTGAAAATCTAAAACAAGGATCTACGTAAATAGGTAAATATATAAATTACTTTATTCACAATAATATTATTAAATATACTAAAGTAGGCTGACTGACCGTTTTCGCTCAGAATCGTTTTTCTTATACAATGATATTATATCATTGAATTCAAATTTAACACTATCCATTACAGTGACCCACTTGTAACCTATTTTTTATTTTATTTATCAAAAATTTATGAGGAAAATATTTCTGTGAGTTTTAAATGAGTATAGCCCCTCCTACATCTTCACTCTGACCCATTGCCTGTATACTTCAACTTACAAATATTTATCACTATATAGCTGACATATAATATTTAAAAGCAGACGATCACTGATTGTTAATGCTACTTCTGATTACACGCGTAGTTATGTTATATTTAAATATTTAATAATTAAGATAAATATACTAGGATTCATATAAGCTTGCTATATAGATTATAAATCGTAATACCATGAATGACTCGTATTTTTATAAAATTATGCTGGCTCTACTGCTTTTTTATGTTTGCCCGATAACTGATACAATTTTAATATAGTACGATTAGTAATATTTGAATAAACTATTTCATTATTTATACAACCGTATTTGAACCGCCTTATATAAATATATAATAAATAATACATTAACACGATATGCCATTTAATGACTAATTGTGACATATTGTTGGAGTGACATACCTATATAATAGATTAACTAATTCATATTAAAATATTATAAGTGGACCAGCAAATTAATAAAATAATAACATTTATAGGAGTCTATATTAGGTATGTCCAAATGACACATCTTACATCTTTATTATTCATACTATTTTGCTAATATATGAAATTATTAGGTATAGGAGTTAATAAACTGTTTTTATAGCCCATTCTCACCAATCAGACATCAGAAAAAATATTATTTTACATATTCTTTATAAGGTCAAATCAAATACGGATTTGTTTATCATTATTCATTATATATTTATATAAAATGATAAATTAGATGTATGTATTTACATTTGTGATTAGTTCATTACAGTTAAAATACTTGAAACAAATATGGTATTATTTACTTGCGTTTTGAACTATAAAATTATTTTTCCATATTGACTTTATTATATCATTATTCAATTATTGTAATATTAAACAGTAGGTATCATTATGAGAATTATTAAAACGCAAAATATTCTAATGTGGTTAATCTAAAATAATTTTACGTACAATATAAAATGTAAACATTTTTCAAATATAAATTTCATTAGGTAGGTACTTATTATCTTTTTAAAATGTTTTCCTCTAATACTACGGTATAATATATATTACTATACCTATAGTTAATTAATTGTTTTCTTTGTCTATCGCATCAATTCTATTTAATATTCAAGGTTCTGATAATCTACTTCTTGCACTAATTAAACGGCTTTTAAGCATCAGCTTAAAATTTAAATATTGCTGTTTATTCTATAATATTACTACCGTTTAGTAGATATACCTTGTATAGTAATGTGTAACCATATATTTTTAAGTTTCTTAAAAAAAACCTTTTTTTAAGGGTTACTATTTTTATATTATTTTATACACTCATTTATTTTACCGAGTAGGTTTAGTGGTTATCGAATTACAAAATTTCAGTTTTTATATTTTTGTATATTTTATAATATTTGACAGAGATCTAGTCATCTAGAACTCATAGTATTTGTAATTTT